ATAAGCGGTGATGGGCCAGTGCCATTGTACACTGTGCCGTCACCACATACAATGCAGGGCTTAATGTGGAGCGTGGGTCACTGACGAGAAGGGCGAGACCTCCAAAACAAGCGTGTGTGGCCCTAGCGTACCAACCACGCTTAGGCTTTGAACATTCTTTTTAAATTGATACAAAGATCACCAAGACAGCGATGAGGATTCTCGGTATACGTGTATTATCCAGGGACAAATGAAGAAACGACCCCTTTCGTTGTACAAGGCTTTTCATCGAAAGCGTTAGTATTCATTCGAAAGCTCAAATCTCTGGATACTCCGCTACGTGCTCCTTTTTCGAAGAAACCCTTTTATGACGCTGCAGCACTCAGAATAAAATTATGTTCTACAACGGCCGCGCGCTCTTACTATTGCCTCGCTGGGATTACGAAAAGCATATGAAAGTGTAGAGGAAATTTTGAAGCACCAGAGCCATTCGTTTTATCTGGAGTTTCTTTCAGAGCAAAGTAGAAATCCTGAATTAAACAAAATGAAAGCACTCCACATGTGAGTCGCGCCAACGCGATCGATCGATCGATCGCTGGAACGCCGTATCGAACGTACGGCCAGCAAACACTCGGCTCACACACTGGCCGACAATCAAATGCGCCGCGTATATGAAACTCGATCTTATTTCTCTTGTTACACTGCAGTAAAGCGGTCCTCCAAGAAAAAAGCATAACCTTGGAATGGCCGAGACTTACGCTATCGAATGGTAACTTACATTCTGGGAAACGAGTTCTATATTGCGAGAAATTTGCGTGTGTAGAACACAAATCTTCTCTTTTTGCTACAGCTTTATAGAAAAGGATTTTTAGGAAAAAGGCCATGTAGCGCGGTAGCCAGAGATTTAAACTCTCGCAAGATTACTAACACTTTCGTGAAAATTTCTTGTCCAGCGAAAGCGATCGCTTTCCTCATTTGTCCCCGGATAACATACTTGGACCAATTCTCCAATAAAACGAGTTATCCAGCCACCCATAAAGCTCTGAAACAGTGAATGAAGCCCCCGAGAGACAAACCATCGAATTCCTATGATCACCATAGAAACGCGACAAGTCCTCAAGTTGTACACAGAGCCACTAAGTTTAGCGTCATATGACGTTACTTCGATACAAATATATCTTTCTATATTTTGGAAAATGACTTTCCCATAACCTCGGAAATAAAGGATAAAGGATAAAGCTCTCGGCGTTGATCAATCCCTGAGGGATGCACCATGCATTCGTCCTCAATATCTAACTCCGTTTGAGGTGATTGAATGCATACCTGGCCTAAACAACGACTCGCGGTGGCCTCCCGCTGAACCGACTCAGTGCTGCTTATCCCCCCAGACAAGTCTGAGACCAGTCTGGTACCAATTTTCCGACCCCGGAGGGATGAATGGCTTGGTGAGCCATGAGCGTGAAATCGAACCATTGACCTCGTATGCGATGCAGAGCACCTCTAACCACTAAGCCACATGCGCTCTATCACTTGAATAGCGATCAATAATAGTCCCTTTTGTAAATTTTACAGCCTTATAAAAAGGTGCATTTGAAAATCGGCTAAGCACGGCTCTAGCCAGAGATTCAAGCTTTCGAATGATCACTGATACCCCTATGAAAAATTCTTGTACACCGAATGAGGTCGAATGTTTCGTTTATTCCTTTATAACCGATAAGTACCGTTTTCCCTTCAGACTTTTAAAAACCATTCGATAGCTTGATTCTCGTCAAATCCAATAATGCATTTCAATTTTCAAAATGACTTTTTGGTGCGCTGCAGAAGCCAAAAGATCGCTAAGTTCCGCTCTGCTCAATATGGCCGCTGTCATCGTGCTTTTTGTGGTGCCAAATGTGCGAAACTCAATTTTCTTTTGATTGTTATAGCGCAACAAGAAATCGCCTTTAAAGAACAAATACATTATTGGAATGAGCGCGATTTAAGCTAGCGAATGATTACTAGAAGACCAAAGGAAAGACACAGTCCAGCGAAAAATGTTCCAATGAGAAACATAATCTTATCTTCTGTGTTGTAGCGCACCAAAGAGGCCATTTGGAAAATAGAGGACATTTTCAATTGCTTGAGGCTTAAGCTCTCGAATAACCACAGAGACTTTAAGACTACCAAAAAATGATTCTTTTACGAGCACTGGAACCGGTGGCGGATAACGGAAAAGAACCATTTTTTCTATGGAACCCTTAACTGCCCGAACTCATGGGATGCCTTAGTGGTTGCGAAAACGTCGCTAGATTTTTAGAAAAAACCGGCCATCGTCGCGAATGTGATCAAGTCTCTAATGCCGATAAAACTAGTTTTCTTCATCATGCCTGGTGATTATTTTTGAGCCACGCATGTCAGTGGTCTGTCAAAGAGGGCTGACTTACAGAGCCCGATACACGTGTTTCGATCTTGCTGTCTCGTCAGTCGGGCAGTTACCCTTTCTCGTCTTTGCTAATCTCTGTGGGAGTTCCAGTCCCCACACTAAGAGTTGGCGACGACGGACGTTTTACACTCTATGTCCAGTGAAACTCACCGAACACAGAGTGTTGTACACTCGATTGCTCTTGGCTGGTATATTCAATATATCATAACTTTCGTTTCAAGTGTTTTCTTAAGACCACAGCTCAAATTTCAATATGCCTGGTGATCATTTTTTGAGCCACGCATGTCAGTGGTCTATCGAAGACGAGATCGCAAGATCGAAACACGTGTATCGAGCTCTATAAACCAGCCCACTTTGATGAACCACTGACATGCGTGGCTCAAAAATAATTACCAGGCATATAGAAATTTGAGGTGTGGTCTTAAGAAAACACACGAAACGAAAGGTTTTTGTTCATTATTTAGCTAATACCACGAAATTGATAACTAAGATCTTTTCGGCTCCTACGTTTCGACGTCCTCGTCTCCAACGGAAATGGTCCAAATAGGCTCTGCTTTATCGCCTCAAAATCAAAGTCAATAGCTTCAGAATTCAAAACCCAAAAAATTTTTGGGGTTTCCAGACTTCCAAAACGAAAGGGGAAAGCTGGGCGAATGGGGGAATCGACGGCATGCAGAATGATAAACGAAAATATCTCGCGAACTGCCCTTTTTATTCGGAATATTGAAAAAACTTACTCGGAAATCGTCTTTTTCGACCGCCGATTGCGGTGTTATGATGTTTGAATAAACCCAATGATGTAGAGTGGTGTGCAAAAACGTTTGCGTCAGCCGGGATTTGAACCCACATCCCACTCTTTCCGGGAGCATGTGCTAAACCGTTTGCACCACCGACGCTCGACCGGAAAGAGTAAGTTCTGGGGTTCGAATCCCGGCTGATGTAAACGTTTTTGCACACCACTCTACATCATTGAATTTATTCAAATAACTCAATTATTACAAATACATGAAAATAATATAATACACTAGATTTGGAAAATTTAAAATAAATATTCATTCAAATAAATGGGCGGGGACTCGAAACTGAAAGCGGGCGGCGACGGCTATATATTTCATTCCCAGCTTTCTATGACTCCTATAGAGGTCACGACGTAGCGAAGAACCCGGTAGTGTTAAGACCAGGCCTTATCACTGACCATATCGATCCGTTATCTCCTTATCAGCAGTCGGAATCGATCGATAATTGGAAGTAAGGAGGGCGGCACGTCAGTAATACAGGCAAGTACACGTGGAACTAAATTCGCTGCGTACCGCAGGGCACGTATTAGCGTGCGATACTCAGGCAACACCACTATCAAAGAGGTTCGCTGGCGGCCGACGTCGTGTTCATTTCTCCAGCTGGTCAGGTCCGGAACGAGCGAACGCCGGTTCGACCGGATGCCGGCTGCTTATCTCCTCTGTCATTTTGTTTCTTTATTTTATTTTATATTAATTTAATTTGTTGATCTTCTCACAGACGTCGAGCTGGTTCAATCCCGCTCGTACCGTGTTTTTTGCTAACCAGTAAAGTTGAGACTTGTCGAGTCTTAGCGCTTGTCTTTAGTGATTTGCTATGATTAGCCATCACTATTTTTTTGTAACCCCAATAAGCCTCCATCCGTAGGTTATCCCTAACACTTCCGACTGGCGGGGTTAACCTCGTGTTGTCATATTTCCGATTGAAAGGTTCTCTTCAGATGTTTGAGAACGTGTCGAGTTCCCGATAAAACTCCTGATTAGACTTTTTTTCACTAAAATTCCTAGGTAGAGGTCCGGGGCCCGTGTGGAGAGTTGTGGTTCCATGAATTAATAATGAATTTTGGTTGGTTTCTTTAAACTAGTAGCTATGCGAGCGCGCTTAGGCTTAGGGTTAGACATAAAAATCAATGGGACCACAACTGTCCACTAGGGTCAGGTCCGGTTGTGTAAAGGAACTGTAGATTCTGCTTATTTACCATTTATTCGATTTTTTTTTTCACGATCCGTCATCACGATCTCAATGTGCGAATCTCAGCACTGTTTGTATTCCATTCGTATCATCCCATTCACCCACGCTAAAGGTCTTCGACAATTTCACGTGTTGCTTCAATTGCTGCTTGAGGATAGAGGATTTCGTCTTCTTCATGGATGTCGTAGAATGCTAAGGGGGATAGCTCTTCTCACCATCTTGGAGGTTTCCGGACTTAGGTTTTCTCAGTCGATTATCAAGGTCTAGAGGCGGAATCGAACCAGCGACTTGCTTATCACCTCCGATTTCTGATACACCGCTTCATTGGCCACTCCGCTTTCCCGCGCATTCTAACATTCTCTCTGTTTAGGAGCTTTTGCATCTCTGAAGATATTTGAGAACCAAAGTGAAGTTCTTGGTCGGGGTTCCTTGACTCACCACCTACTAGTCGGAATGATGTCAAGGAAATTTTAGTCTTCGTAACTATTCACCTTTTGTATCCAGTGATGCAGAGTGATGTGCAAAAACTTTTGCGTCACGTCGATAGCGACTACCCACAGCCAAACCGTTGACGGTTAGCTGCTGAGAGATAGATGCAGTGTTGTCAAAACGGGCGTCGGTAGTGCAGCGGTTCAGCACGCGGCCCAGGATGGGATAAATTGTGGGTTCGAGTCCCAGCTGACGGAAAAGTTTTTGCACATCATTCTTTATCCAATGGGTATATTGTAATATCACACCATTGCTAATAGCGGTTAAATAAGAACAATTCCATACTCACCTTCTACTCTAAACGATTCATCACCCTAGCCACTCTGTGGATACAGCAGCTTGTTTTCAATTCGTAACGTCGCTTTCGTCCTCCGCAGAGCTGTTCCAGGATTTCATGTGCTGCCTTCGGCTTTACCTTGAGGATTTTGTCTTTTTTAATGGATGTCCTTAATAGTTGATACGATCCTTTCAATACTGCCATAGCTCGGCTAAGGCACTCCTGAAAGCTTTCGTTGATCGATTGCTAGAGAGTGTTGGAGAAGAGGATCAACCTAACGACTTGCTATCACCTACCTTCCTGATACACCACACCACTAACCTCTGCACTACCAGCCCCTTTCTGTTATTATATCGCTGATTAGAAGTCTTTCTTTTTTGAATGTCCAAGAAAACTGTCGAGTGTAGGCACACAGACCACTATTCATTTCTTCATAGTACTTTTATTTCTTTCGTGTTCATCACTTTGACGTGTATTTTAAGGGTAATGATTTAGAGAGCGATTCTTTCTCTTTCTTTTTAGGTTTTTCTCTTTTGGGACGTCCGAGGCATTTACAATGTCCTGGATTTGGGACTGGTTATCGAGTGTGCTCAATTTTCTAGGTAATTGAAGTATTTTCCACTTTTTATAATGTAAATATTACCGTTAGGGCTTCAATATATACGTGCATGTGCACACACACATATGAGCAGATATAGTCAAGTGCGTTATATATATATTATCGTTTTCGAATATTCTCTTATAACCACAGCTCAATTTTCAGTATGCCTGGTAATAATTTTTTGAGCCACGCATGTCACTGGTCAATTAAAGAGGGCTGAGTTATTCGAGTTGCGGTCTTAAGAAAACACTCGAAACAAAAGATATGATATATCATATATACTGGCCAAGAACAATTTGAGTGTACAACGCTCTGTGTTCGGTGATAATTTCACTGGACGTAGCGTGTAAAACGTTCGTCCTCGCTAACTCTTAGTGTGCGGACTGGAGCACCCACACAGGATTGGCAAAAGAAGAGAAAGGGTAGCTGCCCGACTGACGAGATCCTATGATCGAAACGCGTGTATCGGGCTCTATAAGTCAGCCCTCTTCAACAGACCCACTGACATGCGTGGCTCAAAAAATGTTACCAGGTATATATATATAATATATATATATATATATAATTATACATATATATATATACGTATTTCCATAGACAAGCAATCTTTTCTTCAAAGATTAGTTAAATAGAAGACAATGTTATATGAAACAGCCGCAAAGCATCGATTGAAAGAAAAAACGTTGCAACACGTGATTTATCACTGGGCTATCACTGTGGCATCTTCCCCCTCTGCTGCTCTTACTACGGAGTTTTGTGACTGTGATGAGACGGACAAACCGTTGAAACGTACGTGTATCGCTCACATGCACTATACGCCTCGTGAAGGGCTCAATAAAAGTATGTGGAAGTATATGTTTTTTCACTATCCCTTGAAGTAAAAGTTTTCAGTTCACTTGAATGTTTGGTAGACTTGTTGTCTCGATCCCGTAGGTTGCGTCACATTTTTAACCCCTTTTGCGGCTGTGAGTGCAGATCTCAATGCCCACGACCCGGTAATCACGGCCCTTCTGGACCCTCTGAAAGTACACCATGTCTTTATTGATTACTGTTCATTAGCCTTTTCGCTATGATGTGTAGAGAAAATGAGACACATGTGTCTGCGCTTTTTGGACGGCTTACGAAGATTGGCGCGATTACCAGTAAATATCTGGGCCCTTTTTTTCTCGATCTAGGTTTTGAAGGAATTTTATTCTCAAATGGTGGAATATCATCGAAGATACTTCCTGTGAAAGGTTTTTTTTTTAATAAAAAAAATGCCCATGTGTTCTTCGCAGTCGTTCGAACCCGCCCGCCAGCCGAAAACGACCACCTTCCATAGCGAAAGGCTTAATAAGTACTGAATTCAATGAGATCACCAGCCACATTGTGATTTTTTGGTTAGCAGAGGGTTGAATAAGATTGCGTTCCCTCGCGATCATAGAAGTGCTCAAAAGCAGATACCTATATCATATCGAGATGTCCTGCGAGGTGTTTTTTTTTAAGAGATTCTTGTTTATCATAATTTATTTAGATGTAGCGATAAATAAATCCATCATTTTGAGGTCTTAGTAAGAAGAATGGAAAGCTGGTGTTTCTTGGTCTGGATAACGCCGGAAAGACGACATTACTGGCACATGTTGAAGGACGACAGAATGGCACAACATGTGCCAACTTTACATCCAAGTAATTTTCATTTTCCTAAGCATTCATCATTTAATTGCTTTTTCAGCAGTGTAATAATATCGTAATATACATATAAGAATGCAGAGTGATATGCAAAGCTCTGGACTCCAAGAGGGAGTTGAACCGACGCGTTTCGTCCGCATTGGGGTCGCGTGCCACCACCACCACACCATCGAAATCACCACTTTGCGTTCACGTTAGAAAGTTGTGCTGACAGCTTTGATAGCTTACTATGAGGAAAGATTGCTAGCAAAGCGATGGTTTCGATGATGAATTGGAAGCACACTCCTTTGGAAAGGGCGAAATGCGCGAGTTTAACTCTCCCTAGGGTCGCAAATCTTGCAGATGACTTAGCATTTCGGAGATAAATTACTTTGTTTTTCATACCTGTAATGAATATTAGACTTCTTCACAAAGTGTCACATGCGTTTGAATGTTCGTAAAGTCAGGCGTAGTTAACCTTTACAGGGCCCAGTAATGTAGGGTGATGTGCAAAATTTTTTGCGTCAGTTGGGACTCGAACCCACATCTCTCTATCCGGTAGGGCGTTCTCTAACCCGTTGCCCTACTGACGCCCATTTTGTACACCATTAGACACGCAAAGGCCGTGGGCCCACGGTCGCGTAAGGGTTAATATAGAATAACTTTGAGGTTTTTTTCATCATAGCGGTTGAAATTATCAGAGTAATCTTACCTTATGAAACTGGCTCGGCGGGAGGCATAAGAGATAGTGATTTTTGAGACATTCCTGTCCAATAAGTTTGTCAGCAAAGGAGAAACTAACATCAAATGCAATTTTTAGTTTTCTAGTTATACTTTGGACATCTGTTTTTTGGAGTATCAGAAAGAGTCGAGTCTTATCTGATTGCAGAGATCTTTTATCAAGAAGAGATATGCTCAAATACACTAAATATTCTGCAGTTCTTTTTATGAGAATATAGCTTATAGAAACATAATTGTCGGCCTGGATGGCATGATACGAAAGAAGTAATTATTCGGCTCCTTTTATAAAATGAACACATTTTCAGGATAAGCTATCATTTTTCAGGGAATAGTTCAGATATGCCTGTTTAACATCTGTGCACATTTTAGACAATAACATTTGCAAAAACTGAACATTTCAGCTTCCGAAGAATTAACTCTAGAGGTATC